TTGTTTCAGATCCCTATATAAGTCGTGGAGTAAAGGAGCTCCAACCCCAGACATTTCCCCAGTGTCCTGTCAGCTTTGCGTCTTGCGGGCTAAGACTTTCCATCCCTTTGTGAAGCCTCTGCGTCTTGCGGGGCTGGCAGGCCATGGTTGCGTCTTGCGGCATGGCCTGAAGCAGCAGTACTTGTGTCTGGTGGTACTGCTCGCTTGAGGATGTGTATGTCACTGTCCCATTACTGCCTCCACAACATGACTTCATCACTCTTAAGAGGTCCCTGTCTCATCTGCACTGCTCACAAGAGGTTCCTGCCGTGGCCAGCTTAAAGGCATGTAATGGCACCCTCGTCTCATAGCTCCACTGCTCTGGTTCCTCAGTGGTTCCTCTCATGGTGCTCCAGAACTTCCTGTAGTGGCTACTTGATCTCTCAAAAGCTTGTTCTGGACAACGAGGTCCCTGCAGAGTCAGCTGGGTCACAGAGGTTCTAGTAATGACCACTCAGAGAGGTTCATGCCTCGGTCCAGTCTTAGATGTTCTTGTCGTGGCTGTTCCAGACGTTTCTGTTATGGCTGCATCTCATGGCTGTCCCAAACTCTATGTGCTCTATGTGATGTTTTCTGAGTACCAGAAGTGCCTGAAAAGACCACCCAGTACTCTCGGCTGCACCAATACAAGAGGTCCCAAAAAGTTCCTGCCACGAACATCCCAAAGGTTTCTGTAACGGCTGCCCAGAGTTTGAGCTCCTAGTGATATGTGCTTGGGTCCCACAGGCTCCTGTCATGCCTGTCCCAGTGCTCTCTGTGCCAGAGCGCCTCGTTTTGGCTGCCTTATTACCAGAATTCCCTTTTGTGTTCCAATCATGAAAGGGATGCAAAAAAAAAAAAAAGTGTTAAAACCTTATTAAATACATTTTCCTGATTTCTAAAAATGATCTGACTATGATCTCCTTTTTTTGCATTATTAGTTTTTTTGTGTTTATTTTTGATAGAATTTACTTTTTTTTCTCCCAGGTCACCACATAAGATGTTGTTCCAGTGCTCCTGTATCAGCTGCCCTGGAACCAGAGTTCCCCGTCCTGTCCCTGTCATAGAAGTGCTTTTTCCTTACTCACCCTAGAGAACAGGAAGGAACATAATATCAGGTACAAAGTTAAATTTCTTTAAAATCTATCTATTATGTGAAACCTTTTTATATATATGGCAAGAAAATTTTTTAAATATTATTGAAATTGTATCATAATTTATGATAATCAGGTGAATGTGTTTGGGTTATTTATTTACTTATTTTTATACTACTGTAATGTCTTATGTTCAGTTACAATATCAGTTAATATCTGTTAAATACTTGTCAAAAAGGAAGAAAAACAGCTTGCATTTTAAAGTGGGGAATGATTAAAAGATGAAAAAGAAAATGACAAGGGGTGTTTTAGGGTTTACTTGTCATTGTATGTCCATCTCATAATTTTCAGTCATTTGCTACATCTTATGAGTATTTTAATTGTGACTGCATCTATGTCACTCTCTTTTACAGAGTTGAAATGTTCATGTGCTCCAGAAGGTAGCAAAAGAGAAGCATCTCTGTGCACCTCCACCAGATCTGCAAAAGACTTTTATCAGCCTTTATCACAACATGAATGACAGGCACATGATATAAGCTCAAAATACCATCTCCATCATTTCTTTCAGATGTTTTATTCTTATCCTCACATTTTATCCTAATAGAGATTATATGACTAAATGTTTGTTTCATCTTTCATCAAATGCAGAAGAGTGGGCAGATTAGAAGATTACTTTTTTTATTTATTTTTTGTTCTGTGGCTTTTTCTGTTTGTATATTTTATATTTTCACATAATAAATGGCAACTGTATTGCATATTTGTTTTGTTATCCTGCAGTAATGTCCTGTTGCAAATTAATAAACCCTTTACTGCAGCATTTCCGTCTCCGTCTTCTTTTTTCATAAACCGCACGTTCTATAAATGCTGCAAAAATGGCTTATCTTACTTGGTATTTTTGTCTTGTTTCTAGTCAAAATATCTAAATTCTTAAATCAAGATACTTTTACTAGTTAAGCAAAATAACTTAAGATATTTATTTATAAATTGAGTGCATTTTGCTTAAAACAAGTAAAATTATCTGCCAGTGGGGTAAGTAAAATACTCTTGTTTTAAGAATATTTTACTTACCCCGCTTAAGTTTAACTGGTACAAACTTCAAAACAATAAACACATTCAAAAATACAAAATTCTCACTTTCATACCACAACAGAAAAATCTACTCCAAAAGGTGCTTTGATGCATCCTGAGCAATCAAACCCTTCCCTTTTTATATTCTCAATGCCAACACTGATAGGTTCATAGGACTTAAACCATATTAACCAATCACAAAGGAGTAGGAACACTGATAGGTTCACAGGCTGGCATGATGACATCAGCCAATCATACCTGGGCTATTCCTTACCCAGCTACACAAGCATTTACTAAATCCAACAAAACAAATGTAGAGAGGAAGCTGCAGTGCAAAACACAATACAATATCAATACAGTATACCGTCCATTGTATAAGGGCACACCTGACTGCCGTTTCTATAATTCCATCTGATGTTAGTGTTTTCATGACATTGTGCTATGATTGGCTAAATGTAGTTTAATTTGTTAGTGCTTTGGAATAATTATTTGATTTTGAGACAGGTTTGCGTTGTAGTTTTTTTGGTAGAATTCGTGTATTGTGTTAGTGTATTCTTGTATTTTGAAAATTAGTGTTGGGAGTTTAGTTTACAATGCGTGATTTTGAGCATGAAATTAACCGTTTTGCCAATTGTGTGTTGTAGGTGTGTTGGTGCGTTAAGAGTTTTTTAAGAGACAAAAAATTGTCATAGCGATCATAAAACTGTAAGTGATGATAATACATTATTAGCTTCTGTCGAAACTAAACATCTCGTTTCATTGATAAACACCATCGTTTCCACACAAAAACATTTAGATGTTTATTTTATTCACAATTAGATTTATAGACCACATATAGGGGAGGAATGGGCTAGTTGTCAGCAGTTATGAGATTTTGAGTCAACAATCCAGTTGTTTCATATTTTGGTTTCAATCATCGAATTCAGTCGTCTTAAATTATAATAACGTTTGTGATCCTAACATAAGTTCCCGAATTTCTTTCGGAAGATATAAGAGCCAGAATTTTATAATCGTTATTTAATAAACATATTGGGCGCCAATTGCCAAATAAAAAAAAAAAGTATATCTTTATTCTGTTTAAGAATGAGCAATATTATTCCTTGAGATAAGGAATAAGGAAGATGGGGAAGTGTATGGTTTTTGATACTCTCAATAAAGACATTTAAAAGAAAAGTTTTTCAAACAAAAATGTCTGGAAATTGCTTATAGATTTCTACTGCAGAGCCATCATTGTCAGGTGATTTATTACACTTAAGATGTTTTATAGCATGAACTAACCAATAGGCCTACTCGTTGCCATATGCAGGGCTTGAACAGGGTTTTTAACGCTACCCAAAGTTCATATGTAAAAGTACACCCTGTATGTAAAAAAGAAACAACTAAACGATTATTCAACAATTCTGCAATTACATTTGCAGAAGGCACATAATTGCTCAAAATAATGAGCCTAATTAGGGATAGTAAAGATCCATCTCCAAAGACATAAACATAAAATAGCATTTGAAAAGCTACTGGAAACAGTATACTCAGTTTGTGAGAATAAAAATATTGAATACAATTAGGAAAAATAAATACAGGTGTAATTTTCATATGTTCTATTTATTGTTTTATTTGTGTAATGGATTTTTAGTCATAATTTTGTTATAATATAATAATTTGATCTGTTTGCTATTTGCAATGGTTACAAATTTTTATTGTGTGATTTTTGGTGAACTGCATTGAATCAATTAGGTTTTTAATACAGGCATCATAATAATTATTAATTACAATAATAGTATAATAATTAATAATAAATGTATAGTCCCTGTGTATAAATGTTTAATGGGGGAAGTTGTGGCCTAATGGTTAGAGAGTCGGACGCACTTTGGATGGGTTAAATGCAGAGCACTAATTCCAAGTATGGGTCACCATACTTGGCCACATGTCACGTCACTCACTCACTCACTCACATAAATATGAACATATATGAATATGATAAAGTTACATAGAATTACAGCCCTTGTTTTCAATTAAATTGGGCATAAATCGGCCCAAAACTCCTGTAATGTAAGCCAGACTTTTGTCACACACACACACACACAAAATAAATACATAAAAAAAAAATATATACAATTTCTGACTTAACATACTCATTTTATAATTTGATATGTGCAATTTACCAATCAGGTGATCTCGGTAATAATGCAGTCAAATCAGTTCTTTAACTCACTTATCTCTTTACAGGGTTCTAAGATATTGTGAAGCTATATGAAAGATATTGACTCTCTTACCTGCTAGTTTACAGCAAACAATTGAAATCAATGCTTCCCACATACTGATGTAGAGCAGCAAACACGCTAAACACGCTCATCACTCGCATAAACACAAGCTCTCCGATGACAGCATTTCCTGTTTGAAGAGCCATGAAAGATACACACAAACACACATTTAACCATCTCAATGAAAAAGCCAGCTGAAGAAAAACTGAGCATTTTTGGAACTGAATGAACTTTTTTTTTTTTGTTCTTTAGATGAACTATTTTTATTATGTATAAAGATCCAGAAACATCAGGTTTAACTTTAGGGGATATTAGCTGGTTTGTCCAAAAAGTTACATTAGGTCAAAAGAGGAGAACAAAAACAAACATAACTACTTTTGACTACTTTTGATCATTTCAAACAGATGATTTTAATCTCATTAATTTAGAACGGATTATTTTTAATTATTTCAAACACACAAATTCAATCACATCAACTGTTATATAAACACAATTTTCAAAATCCCATATATACTAAACAAGAATAAATAGACAACACTCACATGCTATATTATAATGGAGATAGAGAATATATTACACATATACTACATTATAATGAGACCATCTTCTCACTGGCTTTCCTGTAGCTCATCCTCATCCTCATCCGCTTCCTTTCTATGGTAAAAGGAAGGTCCCTAAACACAAAAAATGACTTGTTTTCTGGATGATTTCTTCATAGTACTATTGTATTTGTGTAGAGTAACAGTATTAAATCAAATGCAAGTGTCCCTAAAATAGCAATGCTGAACCTTTGTGGCTCATTTTACCCGCTAAACTCAAAGTAAACCAACACACTCTTGTCTGCTCAATATTGAACTTTTATAACTTCTATAACTTTTTTTTTTTTTTTTTTACTAAATATAGCTTTAAATAATGTTGTTGCATGTTCTTATAACTATCCCAAAAGACACGTTTTCAAACATATAAAGTACTTGTAAAAATGTCTTTAAAAGCTGAGACTGACCATTTCAGTGCTCTCAATCAGCCTGTAAAGGTAATTGGTTTGTTTCCGAAACAACTGCTGATTCTTCTCCAGAGCTTCCAGGATACTCAAACAGTGTTCCATCCGAATGTTCTTCCTATAAACAACATGCCAATAAGAATAATAACTTCAATATGATGCTTTTGCTGCACTTGAATAATGCAATAAAACATGGTCTTTGTAGTCATTTATTTTTTAAGTCAATTTATTTTGTAGACACTGACATTCATAAAGGCAGTCAAATGTCAAGCATACGACAAGGTGATGCTTAATTTCAATACCGGTAAATGATTTGCGTGAACTGGTGTTCATTCAAGAAAAATCCATGATAGGGCCTCTTTAAAGGGTTAGTTCACCCCAAAATGAAAATTCGGTCATTAATTACTCACCCTCATGTCGTTCAAAACCTATAAGACCACCGTTCATCTTCGGAACACAAATTAAGATATTTTTGATGAAATCTGAGAGCTCTCTGACCCTCCCATAGACAGCAACGCAACTGTAATGTTTCCAGACAGAAACGTAGCAAGGACATCGTTAAAACAGTCCATGTGACATCAGTGGTTCAACTTCAATTTTGCGAAGCTATGAGAATACTTTTTGTGCGCAAAGAAAACAAAAATAACAATTTATTTAACAATTCTTCTCCCCCGAGTTACGTCTTCTGCCATTTTGGAGAGTTCCCAAGAGCGTAATCGGTGTTGTTTACGTTCGGGGGGGAAAGCGCGCGCATTAACGTAATCGACGTAATCAACATTGTTTACACTTAGGGTAAAGCATGCATATGCTTCGTGATACTCTCCAAAATGGCGGAAGACAGTAACTCGGGGGAGAAGAATTGTTGAATAAAGTCGTCATTTTTGTTTTCTTTGTGCACAAAAAGTATTCTCATAGCTTCGCAAAATTGAAGTTGAGCCACTGATGTCTCATGGACTGTTTTAACGACATGAGGGTGAGTAATTAATGACCGAATTTTCATTTTGGGGTGAACTAACCCTTTAAGTTGTAAGCTACGCTGAAATCACTCAAGTATCTTTAGATGAATCAGTGCTGGGTTGCCTGACCATATTGGAACTGGATATCTATGTAAATATCCACTAAATAAAGAGGAACCTGTAGCTGCATGTACTTCCATTTCTTACCCTTCAAAAAAATTGTTTTCTGAGAAGGCAACCTTGGTCATCTGGTCGTCAGTCGGCTCACTCCTGATTTGCTCTAAATAAATGCCGTACATAAACACAATACATAAACTCTTAACAACAACCCCTTTGTCCAAAGTTACTGCATGATTCATTAGTGATGGAAGAAGCACATTTTTTCCCAAACTTTCAGTCAACTGAACCAATTGCTTCGACAAATGATTCACTTTTTGGAAGCACTAGAAACACCACATGCTGGTGACACCTGCTGGTCAGAATGGAGTAAATGCAACGAAAACTCCCTCAAACATACATAGAAACCTTTTTAGAGTCTATGATAGAAACTCCTTTTATCAGAATCAGAAAGAGCTTTATTGCACACACAAGGAATTTACCTTTGTTGAAAAGTTGAAATTTCAAACCATTGAAATTTGGAAACAGTAACAATGTAAAGAAGCCTCGTTTACTTAAATCTCATGACCATGGCAGTTTAATACGTAAACACTGGTTCAAAACAAGGTTTTAAATCTTCATGTAGCAGTGTTTTTAAAGCACCCATCACTACTAGGCATGGGCTTATTCTACATACATTGATATTTATGCATTTAGCAGATGCTTCTATCCAAAGCAACTCACAATACATTCAAGATACAGAATCCATTTGATCAATTCATGCATGCTGTATATGAACATGAGGTATCCAGTGAATGACAAAGCTCTCACCTGTCGTCTCGATCGGCGACGGCTGTTCCTCAACCATATTCTGAATGTGAACATGTTCAGTAAGAGGGAACATTGTCAATGAAAACCTTCATGTTGGATTAGAATTGTGTTTTATAATTGTTTTTATTGATGTCCTCTGACCTTTCTGTGGCTGAGGATGGTGTCCACCGTCACTGCATAGATCAGACTTACACCAATGGTTTGTTTTTATAGAGAAAATTGATAATGCGATTTGTGAGCACATTATCTTACAAAATACTAATAGTCATGATGCATAAAAACTAGGGCTGCACGATAAATCGCATGCGATATTTAACGTGCATCTTGTCAGTAAAGCCGGTTCTTTAATCAGCGGGAAATCTCCATCACGTGCGGGCTTTCACATGGAGCAGCATTTACTACACCGAGCCGTTGTTCACTGACAAGCTGCGCAAAACCACGATCATATTTTGCGCATGTTTTGCGCAGCTTGTCAGTGAACAACGGCTCTGTGTAGTTAATGCTGCTCAATGTGAAAGCCCGCAGGGGATGGAGATTTACCGCTGATTACAGAACCGGCTTTACTGACAAGATGCGCATGAAATATCGCATGCGATTTATCGTGCAGCCCTAATAAAAACTGGGATCAACAATAAGGATGGCCTGGAACCGAACCAGAGGGTTTCAGGACACTTAAAGGGACTGTCACTCACCCAATCTGCCATATGTTGAAAATGATTCAAAGATTATATGAAATTTATATCATTACCTTTATTTTTTATTATTATTTTATTTTATTGTTTTGAGGCCAATGAAAATGTTAGCATGGTAATTTACAAATCCGAACCACTGGCCCTGGCCACAGATAAATCCTTACTGCTGATGGTTGAAGGGAATATGGGACTGTTATTGCTTTTCTTGACTTACCTTAAAAGGATGTAGTATTCAGTCAAGATGTACAAGACGATGAAGATGATAACATCAGGTGCACCTGTTAAAATACATAAGAACTGTCTTCAAAAAATGTCTTAAAATTAATGAGTCTTTAACTAGACGAGTAAAGTTGTGAACGAACTTTGAGATTGGCTTGACAAAGCCTAGCCTGAAAGTTTGAAGCAGCTGTAAAAGCTTGAAGTTTAGAAAGGTGAAAGTTTACAGACAGATTAGATAGATACGTCTACGTCACGATGTGGGAAGATTTGCATAAGACCGCCC